TTTTCAGAACTGGGGATTGAACTCAGGCCCTTGGGCTTCCTAGGGAAGCACTTATTCCACTGAGCCATCTCCCTGGTTCCTAAAAAAAAAAAAAAAAAAAATATTTTTGACAGGAGGGGCACACGCATAACCCCAGCACTGGGGAGGCTGAGGCAGGAGTATTGCTATGAATTTGAGAACAGCCTAGGTTACATAGTGAGCTCAAGGCGTGGCTGTACCACACAGCAAGACATTGTCTCCAAAAAACAAAAAGATTTCTAAAAATTCAACGACAAGGTCTTTCTAATTTTCCCAGACTAGGCTTGAACTTGGGATCCTCCTGCCTCAGCCTCCCAAGTGCTGGGATTACAGGAGTGCATCACTGCCCCTGGTGTTCCTTCTTTTTTTTAATCAGTATGAGTTTGAGATAATTACATTCATCCCACCACTTCGATTTGAGCCCAGCCCCCCGCTTGCACACTAGGCCTCCCCTTCCCTTAGAACACCGCACCAGCACTGGTTCCCACAGAACTCACCCACGCATCAGAACTTCAGGCACACAGCATTGCAAAGGCAGTCTTCGGCCTCCCCTTAACTTTCTGTCTCCAGCCCTGGGCTGTGGTCAGACCCTGAATTTTCCAATTCCTCGTGCATCAGGCTGAAATCCGGGTGAGGGGTGTGGGTAAGGTGTTGGGCTTATAACAGCAGGGCCTGTGACACCACCCCCTCATACTCTGAGTGCCACATGCTGAGACCCTGTCTCCCCGCAGTACTCGCTCCCCATGCCAAGAGGGGGCAAATACGCCATCAACCCGCACCTGACAGAGGACCAGCGCTTCCCACAGCTGCGACTGTCCCGAAAGGCCCAGCAGAAGACCAATGTGTTTGCCCCCGACTACACTGCTGGAGTGTCACCCTTTGCAGAGAATGACATCTCCAGCCGTGCAGCCACCCTACAGGTCCGAGACAGTACCTTGGGAGCCGGGCGGAAACGCTTAAATCCCAATGCATCCAGAAAGAAGTTTGTGAAGAAAAGGTGAAGCAACGCTAGCACCTGCGCACAGGCTGGACAGCACGGCGGTGCTGGGGGCAAGTGGTGCCTTGGTCCAGCTGCATCCCCCCTGGACATCAGGATGGGGTGCCAGGACGGCTGCCCAGCTCCTTCACAACTCACTGTGTCGGGTTGGGGTGGTGGAGCCTGGCTCGGACTCAAGCCATAGGCAGGGACCCAGCAAGGACAGGACAGAACCAAGATCAGAGCTCATGGCTGTGAGAGAGTTCCCAGATGATAGTATTTTTCTAATACATGTGGCTGCAAGCTCCAGGTTCTTGCCTGTTGATGAATTTGAGCTAAAGCATGAACCATATGCCCCGGGGGTCATTGTCCAGGTTTATAAACATTCATGATAAAACTTAAGAGCTGCTGGGGCTGGTGAGATGGCTCAGTGGTCTAAAGCACCTACTTAGAACAAGCTTAGCAAAGCATCAGGGACCGCAGTTCAATCCCCCAGCACCACATGCCAGCCAGCCTGCCCCCTGGTGGGCTGAGCTGGCCACACACACACATACATAAATAAATAAATTTAAAAAAAAAAAAAAGTTTTTAAAAACTTAAGAGCTACCACTTCCTTTTCCTGTATCTCTCTTTAGCTTTTTTTTTTAAGGTCTCCTTCAGGTTTTGGATTGTGGTCTCAGGTGAGCCTTTCATGTGGATTTGTATTAGGTTAACGTCCGTCTCTTTGCTTTCTTTCCTACGCACACATTCACACATGCACAGTGTGTGTCGCCTGGGAGAAGCATGGCCTTTTACCTCCGCCCAGTACACTGGCCAGGTTCAGGACCTTTTTAAAAATTTTTACTCTGAGACAAGGTGTCTCAGTTATATTTCCTCGTTGCTAGGACGAAATACCAACACCCAAAATTAAGAAAGAAAAGGTTTATTTAGCTCACAGTTTGTGGAGGTTTTAGCCTATACGTGGCTGGCTCCCAGGTGGTGCATGGCAGAGAACAGCAGTTCATGGCAGCAGAAAACGGGGAAGAGCAGCAGAGGAGCAGCAGCTGCGGCGTCTGTCAAGCCTCGCTTCCTTCCACGCTGACTGCCAAGATCCAAGCTCTGAAGTGGTGCAGCTGCGTCAGTAAAGCTCCTCCAAGGAAGCAGTGCACAGCAGCCTTTCTCGAGCCTTTCCTGTACCCTGGAATGCTGAGTCACTCGGGCAGGCCCTCCCTGCCCAGGACGTGGAGTCACCAAGCTTTGGATCCAGCCAGGCTTCCAGCATCTCCAGCTGACAGTGTGTCATCCACCACAATGCACAACTTGGCAACTATATGTGTACTTTTTTAAACCAGTCCAGGTGCAAAGACATGTGCATTCACATTTTATAAGTCAGGTATTATAACACAGCATTAGTAGTCCTTACGAATCACTGGTAAGTCTGTGTGACAAGCATAACATTTTGCCCTGGCCCCCCAAAGGATCATGTACATTCCTTTATGCATAAGGTGCTTTAGTTTATCCACCAAGAATTGTTGAAGTCTTAGTAGTTTTCACATTGTTGAAAACTCCCAAGTCTCAAGATCTAAGAAAATTAGCTGTGAGCCCCTGTACAAATGAAAAGTTTTTAGCATTCAAAGGAACAAGGTAAACGTTACCATTTTAAGATATGCACAACAGGATATAAACCATTGAGACCAAAACAAGTGTAAAATGCAGAAGGGCAGACATTTAAGTCCTTTAATTTCATGTGCAATATCCAAAGCATTCTAATGAGTTGTAAGCTCCAGAAACCTTATATGGCCCCACCCTATGGCACTTCTGGTGGTAGCTCCTGTGGCTTCTCAGCTTGCGGCTTTGCTTGCTTTTTGCAGCGTGTGTGTGTGTGTGTGTGTGTGTGTGTGTGTGTGTGTGTGTATAACCAGGGATTGAACGCAGGCCCTTGTGTTTGCCAGGCAAACATTTATTCTACTGAGCTATCTCCCTGGCCCTTGCAGTTTTTTTTAGATAATCTACATTTTTTACTTTTTTAAACTTTCAGGGTTTTTCACTGAATAAGTTTTTTACTCAGAGCTTTACACTCTGCTCTCTCAGGGGTACACGGCCTGGCTTCCCAAAACTTTTTTTTCTTTTTCTCGGTTTGGGGTATTGAACTCAGGGCCTTGTGCTTGCCAGGTAGGTGCTCTTTGTACTGAGCTATCTCCCCAGCCCCAGCCTTTGAAATCTAGGTGGAAGCCTTCCTAACCTCAGAACTCGCGCGCTCTGAATGCA